ACAGACGAGCAGTGCTACTAATACCATGTGTTGTGACAGACGAGCGTTTTTATTTATTCTATTTGTTGTGACAAACGCGCAGTGTTACCTATACCATGTGTTGTGACAAAAGAGCAGTGTTACTCATACCATGTGTTGTGACAGACGAGCAATGTTACTAATACCATGTGTTGTGACAGACGAGCAGTGTTACTAATACCATGTGTTGTGACAGACGAGCGTTTTTATTTATATTCTTTGTTGTGACAGACAAGCAGTTTTATTAATACCATTTGTTTTGATAGACGTGGGTGTTACTTATACCATGTGTTGTGATAGACGAGCAGTGTTACTTATACCATGTGTTGAGACAGACGAGCAGTGTTACTTATACCATGTGTTGTGACAGACGAGCAGTGTTACTTATACCATGTGTTGTGACAGACGAGCAGTGCCACTAATACCATGTGATTTGACAGAAGAGCAGTGCTTCTAATACCATGTATAGTGACAGACGAGCAGTTTTACTAATACCATGTGTTGTGACAGACGAGCATTTTTACTAATACCATGTATTGTGACAAACGAGCAGTGTTACTAATACAATGTGTTGTGATAGACGAGCAGTGTTACTTATACCATGTGTTGTGACAGACGAGCAATGTTACTTTTACCGTGTGTTGTGACAGACGAGCAGTGTTACTCATACCATTTGGTGTGACAGACGAGCAATGTTACTAATACCATGTGTTGTGACAAGTGAGCAATGTTACTAATACCATGTGTTGTGACAGGTGACCAATGTTACTAATACCATGTGTTGTGACAGACGCGCAGTGTTACTAATACCATGTGTTGTGACAGACGAGCGTTTTTATTTATATCATTTGTTGTGACAGACACGCAGTTTTATTAATACCATTTGTTTTGACAGACGTGGGTGTTACTTATACCATGTCTTGTGATAGATGAACAGTGTTACTTATACCATGTGTTGTGACAGACGAGAAATGTTACTTTTACCGTGTGTTGTGACAGACGAGCAGTGTTACTCATATCATTTGGTGTGACAGACGAGCAATGTTACTAATACCATGTGTTGTGACAGACGCGCAGTGTTACTAATACCATGTGTTGTGACAGACGAGCGTTTTTATTTATATCATTTGTTGTGACAGACACGCAGTTTTATTAATACCATTTGTTTTGACAGACGTGGGTGTTACTTATACCATGTCTTGTGATAGATGAACAGTGTTACTTATACCATGAGTTGTGACAGACGAGAAGTGTTACTAATACCATGTGTTGTGACAGACGAGCAATGTTAATCATACCATGTGTTGTGACAAATGAACAATGTTACATATACCGTGTGTTGTGACAGACGAACAGTGTTACTCATACCGTGTGTTGTGACAGACGAGCAATGTTAATCATACCATGTGTTGTGACAAATGAACAATGTTACATATACCGTGTGTTGTGACAGACGAACAGTGTTACTCATACCGTGTGTTGTGACAGACGAGCAATGTTAATCATACCATGTGTTGTGACAGACGAGCAATGTTAATCATACCATGTGTTGTGACAGACGAGCAATGTTAATCATACCATGTGTTGTGACAGACGAGCAATGTTAATCATACCATGTGTTGTGACAGACGAGCAATGTTACTTTTACCGTGTGTTGTGACAGACAGTGTTACTTATACCATGTGTTGTGACAGACGAGAAATGTTACTTTTACCGTGTGTTGTGACAGACGAGCAGTGTTACTAATACCATGTGTTGTGACAGACGAGCGTTTTTATTTATATCATTTGTTGTGACAGACAAGCAGTTTTATATTCTTTGTTGTGACAGACAAGCAGTTTTATTAATACCATTTGTTTCGACAGACGTGGGTGTTACTTATACCATGTGTTGTGATAGATGAACAGTGTTACTTATACCATGTGTTGTGACAGACGAGCAGTGTTATTTATTGTTACTTTTACCGTGTGTTGTGACAGACGAGCAGTGTTACTAATACCATGTGTTGTGACAGACGAGCGTTTTTATTTATATCATTTGTTGTGACAGACACGCAGTTTTATTAATACCATTTGTTTTGACAGACGTGGGTGTTACTTATACCATGTGTTGTGATAGATGAACAGTGTTACTTATACCATGTGTTGTGACAGACGAGCAGTGTTACTTATAGCATTTGTTGTGACAGACGAGCAGTGCTACAAATACCAAGTGTTGTGACACACGAGCAGTGCTACTAATACCATGTATTGTGACATACGAGCAGTGCTACTAATACCATGTGTTGTGACAGACGAGCAGTTTTACTAATACCATGTATTGTGACAGACGAGAAGTGTTACTAATACCATGTGTTGTGACAGACGAGCAGTGCTACTCATACCATTTGTTGTGACAGACGAGCAGTGTATCTTAGACCATGTATTGTGACAGACGAGCAGTTTTGCTAATACCATGTGTTGTGACAGACGAGCAGTGTAACTAATACCATGTGTTGTGACAGACGAGCGTTTTTATTTATATCATTTGTTGTGTCAGACAAGCAGTTTTATTAATACCATTTGTTGTGACAGACATGCGGTGTTACTTATACCATGTGTTGTGACAGACGAGCAGTGTTACTTATACCATTTGTTGTGAGTGACGAGCAGTGTTACTAATACCATGTGTTGTGACAGAAGAGCAGTGTTACTTATACCATGTGTTGTGACAGACGAGCAGTGTTACTTATACCATTTGTTGTGAGAGACGAGCAGTGTTACTAATATCATGTGTTGTAACAGACGAGCAGTGTTACTTATACCATTTGTTGTGAGAGACGAGCAGTGTTACTAATATCATGTGTTGTAACAGACGAGCAGTGTTACTTATAATGTGTTGTGATAGACGAGCAGTGTTACTTATACCATGTGTTGTGACAGACGAGCAGTGCTACTAATACCATGTGTTGTTACTGACGAGCAGTGCTTCTAATACCATGTATTGTGACAGACGAGCAGTGTTACTTATACCATGTGTTGTGATAGACGAGCAGTGCTACTAATATTCTTTGTTGTGACAGACAAGCAGTTTTATTAATACCATTTGTTGTGACAGACGAGCAGGGCTACTAATACAATGTGTTGTGACTGACGAGCAGTGCTACTAATACCATGTGTTGTGACAGACGAGGAGTGTTAGTAATACCATTTGTTGTGACAGACGAGCAGTGCTACTAATACAATGTGTTGTGACTGACGAGCAGTGCTACTAATACCATGTATTGTGACAGACGATCAGTGTTACTTATACCCTGTGTTGTGACGGACGAGCAGGGCTACTAATACCATGTATTGTGACAGACGAGCGGGGCTACTAATACCATGTGTTGTAACAGACGAGCAGTGTTAGTAATACCATTTGTTGTGACATACGAGCAGTGCTACTAATAACATGTATTGTGACATATGAGCAGTGCTAAGACAAGCAGTTTTATTAATACCATTTGTTGTGACAGACGAGCATTGTTATTTATACTATGTGTTGTGACAGACGAGGAGTGTTAGTAATACCATGTGTTGTGACAGACGAGCAGTTTAACTAATACCATGTGTTGTGAAAGACATGGAGTGTTACTAATACCATGTGTTGTGACAGACGAGCAGTGTTATTTATACTATGTATTGTGACAGACGAGCAGTGTTATTTATAGCATTTGTTGTGACAGACGAGCAGTGCTACTAATACCATGTGTTGTGACTGACGAGCAGTGCTACTAATACCATGTATTGTGACATATGAGCAGTGCTACTAATACCATGTGTTGTGACAGACGAGCAGTTTTACTAATACCATGTGTTGTGACAGACGAGGAGTGTTACTACTACCATGTGTTGTGACAGACGAGCAGTGCTACTCATACCATTTGTTGTGACAGACGAGCAGTGTATCTTATACCATGTATTGTGACAGACGAGCAGTTTTACGAATACCACGTGTTGTTACAGACGAGCAGTGTTGCTTATACCATGTGTTGCGACAATAGAGCAGTGTTACTTATACCATATGTTTTGACAGACGAGCAGTGTTGCTTATACCATTTGTTGTGACAGAAAAGCATTGTCATTATTACCATGTGTTGTGACAGAAAAGCAGTGTAACTTATACCATGTGTTTTGACACACGAGAAGTGTTGCTAATACCATTTGTTGTGACAGACGAGCCGCGTTGCTAATACCATGTGTTTTGACAAAAAAGCATCGTTACTAATACTTATACCGTGTGTTATGACAGACACGCTGTATCGATAATGTGGTATGTTGTGGTAGGTTAATATTAACAGTGGCATACTACATTGTTTGTTGCCCATTTCATTTCAGAACTTAAATCTGATATGTTTTATTTAATTTTTAGAGGAAAGAATTGTACACCTGAGGTATATGAGTTTAATGAGGAGAGCGTATGCCATACCGGTTATGTTACAAAAACGCGAAGTAACACGGCCAACGAGAGATTGGAGTAACAGCAGGATACAACACAAACT